AAAAAAGAAAACGGTAACCTGGTTGCCGAGTTCACGAAGTGAATTGGCTTGGTTTACAACGTCGTTGCCAAGCAACGAAAAACCAACCCCGATGGCAAACACCGGCCCCCGAATACTTCTACCCATGGGATTTAGCGTTCGAGTAAAACCTGCTGCTATTGCTTTAGACTAAAAATATGCCACAATGAATCATATACAACAGGCTTGGCAAGCAAACTTAAAAATATACGAGCACGAATTATTTGGGCGGGGGAGGAGGGGGGTTAGCAGGACGTCAGAATTCCCGCTACAAGAGCCCCATGTCGCTTACAAGATGACAAAATGACAGGGGTATGAGGGTTGGACTTCACAAACACAAGACACTCACCACAGCAGTAGTTCCCTTTGTTGGTGGGGGTCTTCTTTCGGGGGGGGGGGGGAATTTCGCGGGTGAATATAGCGTCCACAAACATCTCAACAAGGTTGTGGCAACGTACCGAAAGTGCGTAAGTGCTCGGTACAGGTATGTATGTGTCTTTATTATTGGCATCGACCGTGCTAACCGACTCACCAATGACAAAACGTCAGTCTCAGTGCGGTTGAAAACACAGAACACTTCTAAATGCGGTGAACCGGGACCATGTGAGGGGGCATCACGGGGGAGGCTTAACTATTTTCTGGATTTAAGATAGAAAAGGTAGCAACAGAGGGACCACGCAGTGTCTGCCAAGGGTGCTACCTTGCACTCGAGTTCGCTTGGCAATGCTTGCACTCGAATTCGTTTAGCAGTGCTTGCACTCGAGTTCTTGCTGAGTGCTTTCACCATGGGTGGGTGGGTGGGTCTTAATTCTAAGCATCGACCGCGCTGACGGGTTGACCAATGAAAAGAAGTCCATCTTAGTGCGATTGAAACACAAAACATTTCTAAATGCCATGAACTGGGACCCCGTGATTGGGCATCATCTGGGAGGCCTAGCTATTCTCTGGATTAAGAGGGGTGGCTCTATTTTGATACTTAAATCCAATACAAGGGAAGAAAACAACCTTCCCGCCGGAATTATCTATTGCATTCTACTGTCATCAGTAGAGGAAACCATGAGCAGGCGTCGTGCGTGCTGGCACGTTCAGGTTGCTACTGGAGCTGAAAGTCGTAGCAGCTTCTGAACAGTCCGAAATCTAGCCGGAACCAAGTGGAATCCAACATTTGTCTTAGCCGTGCTCACTGCCACGGACCGTAAACCCCTGAACGGAGCGTTGTCAGCAGTAGCTAGTGGCATCAGCTACTGTTCTAAACCCGCAGTTGAGGAGATTGGGGTCAGCGGCGGCGAGCACAAGCAGCACAAGACACTGGGTGTCTGTCAAATTTGCGGAGGTTTGCGGAGATTGTAGGCCACTACGCCTACTTCGAAGTACTACCGTAAAACGACACAAAATAACACACCCACATAAGAAACCACCCCCCCCCCCCCCCGCAGAAAACGGCACCCCGGTGATCATTTTGAGCGTTTCCGACAACCCATCGATTGATCACCCGGGCTACACAAGATAGCACACCCCTTGAGGTTACGCCGCATACATTCATGGGGCTCCTCCTTTTTATCACCGGGGTGATACAGCATCTGCCCCGTGGGCATCACACACAACACGCAACATCTGCGTGCGGGGAAACACCTCGCATGGAGACCGTCAACAACATGAACGTGCAGGGAAAGCAGAATGCCGCCGCAAGTACCTCCGCTTCCTCCACAACTGCTCGCTCTTCTCCCGTGCAACGCTGTTCTGTTTCTATGTGTAGATTTGTGGTTTTGGTCTTCGATATTGGTCGTGATGTCGTTGCGTACCTCTATGTTGGTCGTACCCAATAGCAAGGTATGAGAAGGCAGGACGGATGGCGCACTCTGTGGCCAGCGACTCGCACCATATCGGGCGAGGGAAAGTTCCATTTTTTTATGCTCCATCAAGCCGTGATGATTGACAACATTTTGTGTGAAACTTTCTTCCGCGTTGAGGGGGTTGAGTGATCGCTGAGGTCATGTGCTCAGGAGTTTGGTCACCTCTGCTAAGCCCCTTTGTTTTACCACATACCCGCAGTACAACATTACCTAGGTTTGGGCGGGGCAGCGACAAGTGTTCGTACAGGCATTGCTATCACACCCCCGGAATACCACACCCCTTCAATTGCGCGGCAGCAGCGGTTCAACTCTAGAAGCAGTGTTATCACACCCCATTTTATATCCTCCCCTCATTATCACACCTCACGGCGCTTCGCGCTTGGTGATGTGAGAGCCTGGTCCGGTGAGAACCCGGCGTGCTCCG